TCCGAGCAGGTAGAGACGTTGGTCGTGAGTTTCGATGTAATAGCTGGCGACTAGATCAATGAGGCCCTAGTCTGCGATGAACCGGTGTGTGAGTGAGATCACCGGCACTGGAAAGAGACTTCCGACTCCTTGACCGAATCCGCGGTGAGAAGATCGCTGGCATTACCCAGTAGGCCATTGATCTCCTTGACGCCGTCTCTCCGTCAAGAGGTCGCTGGCGTTGGAGAGTAGCCGAGAGATGCGAGAATTTCTGGTCAGTACTGACACACCGCCAATGAGGCCTTGGGTCTCGTTCACGAAGTTGTGTGTCAAAAGGCTGCTGGTATACTGCTGAGAGGCCACTCAATCTCCTTGACAGAATCGGCGTCAGAGGCTGTTGGCGTTGTTGAGAAGGCTGCTGATTTTTGGTTAAAGCCAGGAGAGGCAGATTAGTTCATCGCTGCCAATCTCCTTGATTGTTGTGCAGGGGCGTCAGGAGAGTGTTACATTAATCCAACAAGCCACCAATTCCTTGATTGTTGCAGGTGTCAAGAGAGTGTTGGCATTGCTCAACAAGCCGCCAATCTCTTAATAGTTGAGGGGCTCAAGGTTTGCTAGCGTTGCAAGAACGTGCTGTTGACCTCCTTGAACAGCTCAGGTGTGATATTAGGGCCAATAGCGCTGATCAGGCTCCTTAGTCTCTTTGACAAAGTCGGCAGTCAACAGACCACCGTCGTTAGTGAGCATGGTTATTGATTCCCTTCACAGATGAAGGAGTCAGAAGGTTGTTGGCGCTACTCTAGAAGACTGTTGATCTCCTTGAAACAGGCTCGTGCGGAAGTATGACGTATTGGTGTTACGAGCTCTTTTGGTTTCGGGGACGCACCCAGCTGTCCGGAGATGGTCAGTTGCTGCAAGCAGACTTCGATCTCCTTGAACACTCAGGATGATCAGCAGGACCAATGGCTTTGATCACAGATTTTATCTCCTGATTGTCTCGGCAGTCAACGCGTCGCTGGCGTTGTTTCAAGTCGTCCAGTGACCTTTTGTGATCAGGCTCTGTGTGAGAGTTATGATCGGAAGCAGTATTAATCAGATCCTTTGTATTCTGTGTGGTATCGTCATCGAGGGTAGAGTGGAAATGACATGGTGGAATAAGGACTCGATATCCGCCAGCAGAGTAGGGGAAAATAGGCCCTTGATTCCGTCAAAGAATTTTCCAGCATCCGAGGTGAGTGCTTCTCCGTGCTACCGCCCCCTGTGTAGGAGTTTTCAAAGTGCTTTCTGCAGACTTCGTAGTCTGGGTCGCAGTAGCCGTCGGCTGGAGCACTAGATCCTGTCTTGATCTTTGAGAGATATGAGATGCAGCCGTCTCTCCGGTAGGGCTTCCTGAAGCAGAGTTACTCTGTCGGCATTGTGTCGTTGAGGCTCCGGGGTGCCCGGCTGGCCGAAGTCCAGTTATGTTGCTAGGGTCGCGTACTCTGGGTGTCCTTCTGCGCTGTGCTGCTTGTGTCCGCAGCAGCCTTCTCGTTGCTGCTCGATTCAGCGGTCGATACCGCCGCTGCTTCAGGGAGTTGCAGTCTGAGTATCCCTGCTGCGCAGCAGTGTTGACAATGTTCTCTGTTATTGCACAAGAGGAGTGGTGTCTGATGTACTCCCACGGTTTTTGTACGGGGCTGCGCAACATCCTTCTTGTTCGCTTCTGCCTCAGTCGTTGCAATCTTCAGCTCTTACAGATGAGGATCCAAAAGCAGCTAAAGCCAGCCAGCGCGGTACTGGAGAGCACCAGGGTTGAAATAAAGGCGGAGAAACGCAGCATCTTGGGCCGTTGCTTCATACAAAGGTAACTTGACAGGAGGGATTCCCTGCGGTTGACGTCTGAGACCAGAACTCATTTTGTGGGGAGATCTTGGCCCCTTATGTCCTTGGAAATCTTTCCACCGCAGATCCTTGTATGGGGCAAGCCGAGGACAGCCAACCCACATGTGAAGCAGGCTGGGCTTTCCGGTAATACTGATGTCAGTGAAAATGGGGTGGTCAGACCCGATCTGGACGGGTGACTGCCTTTCTTCAATCTGCGTTCGCGGCTCAAGCGGATCATCCATGACTCCTCCAAGTCGCGATGTGTTGTAATTTCTCATTTCCGTCAACAGATCCGTTCACCGTCCGAAGCTAGTGGCTTAGACCCTGCGGTACGACGAACAGGCATATCGATAAATACGACTTGGGAGTTAGCACATCACTTGATTTGGGCACAGAGCACTACGCCGTTTTCCTGCTTGATGATCGGCATTGGGTTGTCTTTTGGCCCAAATGGTCAGTTTAGAGCAGACATCTCGCTTGACTCGAGATGTTGACCAGGCATCCCAACTGACCGCTGATCTCGACCAATGACACGATTCTCATTGGATCTAGCCAGAAAGGGAGAGGTCAAAGCGGCGCTTTGCCAAGCGCAGTCCAATGAACTAATGTTGAATCACACCCTTCGCTTAATGGTGTTCTCCACTATTAATAACTATGTTTGTCCAACTTTGGCAAGGGCATCCGGTCAATGGGGTTCACCTCTACCTTTTCAGTACTAGGCGGCATCTTTACCTCGGGATATACAAACCTCATGGGGCGGGGAGTATTGAATTGTGGAGAGAACCTCTATTAAAGCATGTTTCATTAATTCTTTATAACTGGGCTTTCTTTCTAGGAATGTCCTTTAACTGTACACTGGTCGCTTGGAATGAACTCGTGGTTATATGTGGTTTAACTACGCCATCGAACTAAAGATCAATGTGTGTTGGTTTGATCAGCACGCCATGCAGGCATTGCGGCGGAAAAGCATGTGAACGGTTAGCCCCCATTACCCGCTTGAACGCGCTAGCGTAGATCGGCGCCGTGGTCCTTGGTCAGGGTAAATGGGGAATACTAACGTTCCTGGCGACTTGGTAGCTCCCCTGGTTTGTCAAAAGCGTAAATGCAGAATGTTGATTTATCATGGCAAGCTTCATCTAGGTGCAGCTGTTCGCCATTCTTGCATAACCCTTACTTTCCAAGTGCTATACAATAAAAACTTCCGCACAAAGTTGTCCTCACATCTAAAGGGGTGCGTGGGGTGCCATATGCGTTCCTGGTCGATCCTCATACCGGAAATTGTTGGGACGAAGTGATTGGCGGGCATATAGTCATTCTCTGGGGAAACGGGTCTTACTATTATCCCGCGTGCAGTTCTTACCTTTTTGCAAGTTATATACCCCAGAGTAACCCCATTGTGTGAAAATCCTCCTATCGTATGTGTGGTATTGCTATTCGACGACCTTTCCTCACTCGCCATGCTTTTCCTTGTTTTTCCTCTCAGCAGATATTTCTTGGTACAATTTACGGAGTATGGTGCCTTTAGCTCACCAGGCAAGAAAGAAAGCCCCAAAAGCCATTCTATGCGGGATCTGCCGTTCCTGCATTAGTATATTGATGTATATATTGGGCGTTCTCGTGATGACATTTCAACTCCTCTTCTGGCTAGCCCTGTGAATTGTGCTTGTTCCTTCGTGCAACTGCATACTTGTTATTTTTCTTGCTCGGTGAATCAAGCGAGTCAATATCTGACTTAATTTGAACCATTGCCCTGAGCTTCCAGGTTTCACCCGGGATAAAGTATTTCGGGCCTTGCACAAGGCTTGTAACCATAAGATTCAAGCTCAGGGCAGCTACCCGCTTACGAGGGTATTTCACCAAGCCTTTTATGCAGGTCATATATTTGACGCCACCACCATCGTCCCTCGGGGCGGTTGGTCCCGCAGATCAAGCATTGAAGTTTTGGGGACCACCATGACAAAGTTTCAAGGTCACCACTATTTTCCAAGTATTGATGTACCTGAGAACCATATTAGAAATAACACCAGAGATATCAAGTCATTGAAATAACCAGACCGTATTTAAGATACCTATATATACTTCGGGAAAAGGTTAGATTGACCCATACTTCGGGCTTTCCATCTTTACTTGTCCCCTCGAGAGCTAATTGGATGCATTCAAATAGTATATGGCATCTTCTAGGGACCATCGCAACAACACAGGTTGTTTTCGGCAGAAAAATGAGCTTTCTCATAATTCATCGTATTAAAAATTATGGATCTACATAATCCACCGCTTTAACAAAGTTTTGTTGTCAGCCAGATATGTTTGAGTGGTACTACTATCTAGCCATAGATAGTATTTCATGATTGGAGAGACTTAGACAGGGCTTCAGCGTTCCAGGGCTAGATATGAATGGAATCAATGTCGATAACAACGGTTGAGAAGAGCTGTACGGTTATCGTTATATGGATACAATACATCACGAGCGATGAATTTGCAGCATCGTGCAAAGTCGGACTAGCAAAGTGAGAGGACCGTAGAGATTTTGACATCTTCATGAAGCGCGTTAAAGATGGCGATTTCCTCAAAATTACTGGAGATCTCGTATGCTTTCCCCCGTTAGCGATGTCAGTACGATACACGCAACACTTCCGACTCAGTACTTTTACTGATGCATTGTTCTGAAGGCTGCTAAGCAGTATCAAAACGTTCTGGGATTTTCAACACAACCGAACTCCTTGCTCAGAGGCTTAGGTGTGACCTGACAATCTGAGTGTCCAGAGAGCAAGGGAAACATCATCAGGGCTTTCTGAACACTGAGCAGTGATCTATGAGTCACGAATTTCGAGATCAATTGATCTAATATATGTTCTGTACAAGACCCGGAGTGTGCTGTACTACTCATTCATGACCGAGCCCCTTGGATATGTCCTACAAATAAGCCACAGTAAGCCAGTCATTTCGCATACCTAAAAGGCACTGATTTATTCTGGCTTCAACTAGGAGTTTGTCCAACAAACGGTATATTGCAAAATCAGGCATTATTGGGGCACCGACCATAGAGAAACAGGCACCCGACCACTGGTCGCCACGCAATTGTGGTATGTTAGGGCATTATCTGGCTTCTGTTTCAAATCGAACATCATCGGCGCCCATATGAGTCATAACCGATGCAGTCTGCGAAACACATTGAATTTTCATATACTGCTACACTCATAGTACAGTGATGTCACCATGTAACTTGATGGTAGCCTGACAATCATGAAACTAGGCTTGGTACAGGCCCGAGAGAGCTGAGTTTCAGCAGCCGCCTGGCTGTGGATATGGATGTGGATAGGATCCGCCTGAGATTCCAGCTCTCAATTTTTGCCAACTCATATCTCTTCTCCAGCCGGTTTTTGATAAAACTTGTAAAGTGAACAGAGCAAGAAACCACAACATACATGGGAGTTAACTACGGAGTAGGGCTTTGCATATTTTACATGTGGGGCCGGAGATATCCGCCACACGTGGCGGGCAGTTTGCACCGCCTCATCACTATTTTAGGAAAAAGCACTCGGTCGCATGTTTTTTCCATACACCATACGTTATATGGCGCTCTATAGATACAAATTAGCATGAAACTTAAACACACCTCAGAGCGAACCCTATACACCCACACCAGACCATGTGACCGACATCATATGCAGCAGGGATTCCATTTCAGGGAAGAGGCAGAGGTAGAGGCGCCTGCGGAGTATAGCGAGTAAGATGAGATCATTGAAAAACCTGAATCATGTGGACAAGAAAAGAACAAGAAACGGTATTTCCAGTACATACAGGCTAGTGGCGCCCGTTCCAAAGTCTGGCATCAGAGGCTCAGCCCAATGGCGGATCGTAACAGGGATCTCAGCTTTCTGTGCATCGGCCGGACTCGGTTCGTCTCAGCGAATCCCAGCCCGGAAGTGACTCAAGACGGGCTCTGCCCCACGCTTGCTCGACCCTCCATCAGCTGAGGTCTACTACTCTGTATCGTATTAGCAGCACTCGATAGGTCCAAAAAAAACCTTGATATGCTTGTTATGGACGTGTTTCGTGTAATATTATTAATGTAAACCGTATGCTATTTTTTCAAGGCTGATATCCAGTTGAATATTGAAGCACAAAAGTGTTGAAACACATTGAAAAATAGGAATCTAAACTAAGTCTTGGCTTGCAGGCTGCAGCCAAATTTAAATAGAGTCTTCACCCCAAAGCATGGGATTGCTAGTGTAGAGGATCCAGTATCTCTTAACGAAATGTAGATCTTGGCGCACACTGAAATATGCACATCGCCCAGCTGAGAATGTATTTCAGTCCCCGCTATGGAGTACATAGTATGTAAACGAATTCTAGATGATCGATGGAGACTCTCGGGGGTTTGTTCCTGTTCAAGCCATTTGGATGATTGGGGCTTAGCTGTTGCAGTTTAGGGCATCATGCAGCTGTTCTGGCCAAATGGACGTGCAACGGATGTGTGAGATGGAACTGTAGGAACCTGTCAAATTTGATGAAACACTCTCGCGCCCTTTTTTTAAACTGTTTCAATCAAGTATTATTATCGCCACCGATTCTTCAAGTTGTGGATCGGGGAGTCCGAGATGTTGGCCATTGATGTACATTGACTCCATCAGACTGCATATACCGAAATACCGTATGTTGTACTCCGTACTCCGTTAGAAAACATACAAATGTTCTAATATAAAATTAATACGGAGTAAAAATTCACATACTCCTATTAAACCTCCATAAAAAAGTTCCCCTCTCATATTATCTTGACTTCCCTCTCTTTCTTCTATAACACTGACATTCATGTCATCTCCTTTCCTTTATATTCTAATTTTTGTTCTTTTTGCGCATTCGCCCGCACTTTAATACTGGATTATACGACATTTAGAGAATTTCCGATTATCCAAAAAACAACATTTTGTGTGGGCGAATGTCGCCTTTATGATTTATATTCAATCTACATTCTTTTATATCACCAACGCCGGACGTATCACCTTTTGCACAGTCTCATAATGCCAACAGTCTTACTCCCATCTTCCGCCGCTGCATTTGCGCCACGATCATCTCCGAATGTTGTCTTAAACACCAAGGTTGAGCCTTGGTTGACGGCGGCCCTCAAGCGAGTTAACCGAGTCAAGCGTCCTTTGAACAATGTTACCCAGCACACCCGGTGCCTGACAGAAACACTCTCATCAACAAATGCCATCTGGACCTTGTGTTCCATGATGTTCACCAAAGTCCCCCAGGCAGATCTAGAGAAGAATGAGAACATGCTCTGGGAATCACTGCAGAACCACCAAATGATTCACATGGAGGCCTACGTTGTACATGTCGACATGGTCTCCCGTAACGAGGTGGCCTTCAAGTTGACCCCGGAAACCATCGAAGCCCTCGTTGATTTCCACAAGGATGTCTACTCGGTGGATGCCGCTGCCAATACATACAACTGGCCAGGAAAGCATGGTGAGTTGAAGAGGTTACAGGAGGAGTTCGTTCAAGCCGCCAACAAGTTTGTCTACCGCACCAATGCTCAGGCTCTCGAAGGACTGGAAGAGGACGGCGCTGGAGAGCTATTGAGCGGCCGCAGCGAAGAAGCAAAGGCAGCCATCGGCAAGCTCTTTGTCCCACTGGTTGCACCTTCACTACCAGTGACGGATGTCATGCGCCCAATCCCTCTCCTGCCCAGTTCGACAGGCCCGGAAAACTGGTGGCAGAACCCGGTGCCCCAGCCAGCGCCACTCGAGTCGTGGAAAGTACTGTCGCCCAGCCCCAACCCGGCCACCACGGGTGATTCTAATCCGAATCTTTGGGCTAGTCTCAGTTTCAGTGATGCCCAGCTTGCCTCTCCGACCCCGTCTTACAGCCAACCTTTCACTCCCTCGCCGTTCCAGGCTTACGAATGCCTACCGACCACCTGTATGCCAACCCCACCGGCCGCTCTCAGTCCGCTCCCGTTGCCGAACATGTTCCCGACCATGTTCCCGAGCATGCTTATACAACCCTGTAGCACGGCTGTCAACATGGGTATGGGGGGGCTTCACTTGGGGCGACTTTGCTCCGATGCCATATGGCACGATCGCCTAACTCAGCCCTCCCGAGTAGACTCGGTGATGTCGACCATTCCCAAGTCCAGGCTCTCCCGGCTTGTGCAACGTGAGGTTGAGAAACGTGGATCGTTTCTTGAAACTAGATGCGGGCGCGATTTTCGGTTTCTTCGCGGCTCCTCGCGGCTCCTCAACTCCCCCTTCTCCTCTCTCGTCTATCTCCCTACCGGGAACCCGATTCCAAGCAACGACAATTCGCATTCTTGACGGCGTTCTCTTCGATTTGACTCTGTGCATCTGTGATACTCCCTCCTGCCTTTTGCATGATAACCAGAATTATCTTTTTCTGCGCTTGTTTTGATACTTTCGATGTTCGATTCCAGCGTCAGCGATGTTTGATTATTTGCTCTTTTCTGTTTTTGTTTTTGTTTTTGTTTTTTTTTCTTTTGCATCAAGAAGCGGCGGGTCGGCTCTCTGTTATGTTTCATTTCTTTTGTTACTCCCGCATATATGTCATGAAGACTGGTCTGCCTCACGGCATGTGGAGGATATGAATTTGGACGTGGAATGTCCTTACGTTTTCGATTCTTTTGTCGCAGCTCAATGGAAAAGGAAGGAAGCAAATTTAGGTTCCTCGACTGGACTGGGTTCAGCGATTGCTTTTGCTTTCTTGCCTTTCTTACGACATCTGTCTTTCTGGTACTGGGTACCGGACTGGCCAGTTCTCTTCATTGAAGAATTGGAGGATAGGTTTATGCGACAGCGTCACCTTCCTTGCATCCGTGATGCTTAGTTGGAGCACGCATTTTTGGTCAGTTTTGGTTCGAGGCGGTGAAGATCAACAACACGAGTGCGAGAGATGATTGCCCTCAACCTTCGTCAGACTCGAGTACATCCGCCTGTGGCAGATACCGAGCGCAAAGGGCGATGCACTGGATTTCCTCCTTGGGTCTGTGACCTGGGGATCTCCACATCCCGCCCCAAGCGACGAGTGGTCTGAGCGGCAGTCATCTCCGTCCTTTGTGCTACGAACTCACCTCCCATAATCACAATTGGCAATGATAGATTCATCTTCTATCGTCCAGGCTGGATTATAGATATTCCTGGACAAGCTTGCTCTGTCGGTGGGCTCTTTTACTGGATGGAAGAGCCCTTCATTCTTTGTCCCGACGACAAGAATCAGATGCTCGATCTGACAGATACCTTCCTTTATGATCTGCCTGATCGAGGGGCTGGTCCTTGCGCTGGCTGCTTCTCTTCTCCTGGTTTTTTTTGTTGATCTATCAGCAGCTCTGTCCAAATATTGTATGTATCACTTTAGCTTAGTTTTAAAAAGTGCGTACACATTTTCATCCTATCAGTTTGTATGTGTAACTGGGTATCTTTTTTATCTTCCGACAAAACACGGCATGAAATATGGCAAGTATTTAAGAGAAGACTCGATGTCAAAGTAGATCTATACACTAGGATCATTTCAAGGTATCAATCAACTCCACATAACTTTGGCATTTTACCCCAGTGTATGACGTCAGCCGCCAAGACAACCTTGTCCAGGCTACATCATATCCAACTTGATCGATACTCGCACACTCACATCCTTTAACACCTCTACCTGCATCTTGATTTGGATTTTGTGCTATTTTCCCTTTGCATTGTAGTTTATTGCATTTACCTCTTACCTGGGATCCACCAGTTGCTTCATTTATAACTTGGAACCTTTCTACAGAGCAGTTACAGTTCCGTCCCGGTTCCGTCTGGGCAAGCCATTTGAGCATTGTTAGAAATTTCAGTCTTGAATTCTGGATACCTTATTGTTCGCCACTGCTTATTCCATTTCCATGAACTGATTCCGACATAATCACGAACTGACAAATCCTACCACTCGAAACAACATCACTACGCTACCAATCCAATTTGCTGGACTCTACCAACAGCATCGCAGACCTCCGAGACTTCAAAATAATTGAATTTCCTCACAGCACCTATGGATGCTCTACATGAGGCCCTCCAATGCCTCAAGCCGACATCATGGGACGATGTCCCCCAGGATCCTGATGAGCTCCGTGACTACGTGCGCGAGATCTTGAAAAACAGCCGCTTGATAGCGGAGTCACTTCCAGATCCCCCAATTTCCGACAGCGATGAATACCCCGGTTTAGACGCCCCGATAGACTCTTCCTCCCGACGAATCATCCCCTCATCCGCACGAGTGGAAGAAACCGACCCTGAGATCACACAACTACAAAAAGAATGGGGGAAGCCAGTGAAGATGGGCGGACCAAAGGACAACCCGTTGGATGTGACTGTGTGGAAACTTTCTGCGAGCGACGGCGGAGGCTCATGGTTCGGGCGACGGAGTGTGCACGAAGGCCTTCCATTCTCGCGGTGGCGGAAGAAGCTTTCAACTGAGTACGATGAAACGCTCAAAGTAAACCGCAAAAAGATTGCGAAGGGACAGACGCCCGACAAGAGCATCCGCGGGATCGGCGCCCAAGAAAAGATCGAGACTATTAAGGTCCAGGACCATGACGGCTCGGTTCTGGGAGAGTTAATTGTTTACCACGTCTCGGCGCAGTTTCCCAAACCTACTGCTCCCCCGTGACTTTGTGGAGTTGGTCATCAATTCTGATTGTGGGTTGCAAGCTGGGGGCTCTAAGCAGCCTGGTCGCAGCTGGATCATGATCTCCAAGCCCTGTGACCACCCCAGTATCCAGCATCAGCCGGGGTATACTCGCGGAGAGTACGAGTCTGTCGAGCTCATTCGGGAGATTCCTAAGAAAAACGGCAGTGGAAGCAGCTCCCTTCACCAGGGGATTAAGAATCATAATGGGTCTTCATCCTCCAATCTGCAACGCCCTGAGGGGCTAACTGAGCAGGATGGAGATGGGGATGGTCAAGACGAAGAAATGAATCCTGTTGAATGGATCATGGTCACCAGGAGTGACCCGGGCGGCAACATCCCACGGTGGATGGTTGACAAGGGAACACCGCGAAGCGTGGGGACGGACGCCGCTAAATTCATCAACTGGGCTGTCCAAGATGATAAGCCGCCTAAGCAAGAAGCAAGCACAGGTACGGAAGCTGCGAATAATTTAGCAGGCGCCAAGGCTAAAGCTGGGGAGACTCCGAATGAATACGACTCCGATCAGGCAGACGATTCGGATTCAGATTACGAATCACTCGACAGCGATGGCGAGCATTCGCATCATGGTCTCATCGCCAGTGTCACCGGCTTGCTCAGTACTGGATTAGAGCGATTCGCACCACATGTTCTAGGCTATGGTGCCCACCATGAGGTATCGGGTGATCTCCCATCTGCGGACGAGGTTTCCTACATCGATGCAGATGGCGTGGCACATCTAAACACAAAAAGTGTTCAACAGGATCAAACAGCGTTTGATGCCCAATCTTCAACATCCCATGAGCGGGACCAGGCTTCATCTTCCTCCTCGGTCAATTCCGAACACGCAGCTACTTCCATCGACGAGGCAGCACACAACAACATGTCCTCGGAGGAGCTGATCAAAATGACAAAGAATGGCAAGCTCACTTCCCAAGAGAAAGATCTCGCAAAGCTAGCCATTCGCAAACGCGAGGTCGAAGGCAAGCTAGTCGAAGTTCGCGGCGAACTCGACAAGCTTCAGATCTCATCGCAGCCGCCTGGCGTCTCCGGAACCCCACTGAAAGGCATCAGTGAGGTAGACAGCGATACTAGCGAGATGCGCAAGCGTGCTGGGGCGAATATGTCCCCCAGACCCCCCAGCACTCGCACACAAGAGAGCCAGAGCCAAGTGCAGAGCGAAATTCACAACGAAGACAAGTCATCTACCCGGACGGCAACGCCTGAACCGCCAGCGCCTCTCTCCAAAGCAGCCGCTCACTTTCTCAATGGGGAGTCTAAGCTGGTTAAGCAGCTGCACAAGATTGAAGCTAGCCAGCGGAAACTTGTGTTGAAGATTCAATCGAAGCAGCGAAAGGAGGCAGAGCGCTTGGAGAAGTCTAAGTCCAAGATCAAGTCTGAGGTAGATAGCTTGAAGCACGAGGTACATGATCTCAAGAAGGAGCTCAAGCAGCTTCGCTCCGAGCGCCAGAAATGGATCGATCTTGTTTCTTCGTTGCAGGTAGAGAATACGAGGTTGGCGGCGAAGTCGGAGGGTGCTTAATTGGTGGCTAGAGCGTAATTATTTGGTTTATACATACGGAGTACTACATAGCTTGTTTGATAGCCTCTTCTATTCGTTTGTCCTGAGCTTTGTTTGGGCTCTAATCTGTCCATGATTAATATGACTACTCTATCCTGTATCTATTACTATATCAATATGTATGGGAATAAACCTTAATTTTGGATATCCTTATGTTGCAAACAATTGTTATTAGATTGTGATTTGCAGATTATGATCAATCAAGCGAGATACAGGTCTGGAACAGCTTCTCCCATGCAGTATATGCTGTTGGGGAATTCAATGTCCATCGATCAATACCAAGTCATCCATCATGATGCTGGTTGGGTACTTAGAACTTGCTGTTGAGGCTGTTGAGCGCATAATTCATGTGGTAGGCATGTTGTCGTATCACAGGTTTACTCTTGTTTAACAAGACTAACAAGAATTGGAGGATGCTCGAAGTTCCAGGGGCCAAAATGGCAATCCATAGGGGATACCAATTCCCGGGGAGAGGCCTTGCTCGCATAAAGCGTTCGTATTTTGGGTTGGAAGTGTTGTTCCGTATCGAAGGGATCGAGCGAAAATTTCGAGAATGGGGCTTTGACAGTTTAAAGGCCGATATAAAGAGGGGATCATCTGATGTCGGCGAGGCTGCTGGGCTGGACTAGGGGTGGTCTGAGGATCGGAGGACCTGCCTTCCTGTCGGGAAAGCCAAGGGCACGACAATGGGTATCAAGAAATACAGGATTAAACAACACTGAGTGGGTTTACTCTTGAGTCTGAATCATTGGAGAGCACATGTTAGCAAAGCCGACTTTATATTATGAGCAACTCTGCAAGATACCACATACCTCTGGTGGATTACCAGCGCCTCTGACCATTTTCTCCAACATCATCGCGCGCACCTTCTCCTTGGGCTCGCCCATGCCGACTGCCATGTAGGATAGCAGAGGAGGGTGACCGACGTAGGAGGAGTAACTGTCACGCAGGATGTTGGACGTCCATTCGTACTTGGTGGTATCGGCGTGCCCGGTACCGATGTAACGGGCCTGGAGAGCCTCGAGGTTCTGGATGGTGCGGAGCTTGTCGGCCATGATGGATAGT